GAGAAGGAGGCCGTGGCAGTGAGATTCAACGGCAAGAGACTGGAGTAAACGTCACAGAGACATCTGACCGCGACACGGAGAGGTTTGTGATGGCAGTGAGACCTGACGAGAAGGAGGTCGTGGCAGTGAGATTCAACAGCAAGAGACTGGGTGGACATCGCAGAGACATCCAACCGCGACACAGTGATGCCGAAGAAAGCAGAGAAGGAGGCCGTGGCAGTGAGATTCAACGGCAAGAGACTGGAGTAAACGTCACAGAGACATCTGACCGCGACACGGAGAGGTTTGTGATGGCAGTGAGACCTGACGAGAAGGAGGTCGTGGCAGTGAGATTCAACAGCAAGAGACTGGGTGGACGTCGCAGAGACATCCGACCGCGACACAAAGAAGTTTGAGACGGCAGTGAGACCCGACAGCGAATAGCAAGTGTTAAGATTGCAGAGACATCTAACCGTAGAGAGCGTCAAAGGGCAGCAAGATCTGACTGTGAGATATCGGGACGAAGCCAGATTTCACTGCAGCACAGCCATCATCCAGCAGGCTGCACTCGAATACACGACAATACCGTGTCCATTTGTACAGCTGGGTATATCCGACTTAGGCCCCGGCTCCGTAACAACAACTGTGCTTTCCTGTTTACAATTTATCTGCATATCTATGTGAAAACATCCATGTTAGATGAAGAATCACATTATTTGACAAAGGGTTATGTGCAACATATACAGGATTAGGATTCCATACTGTTTGCAGAACGAGTTACGACGGCATTGGCGTTTGTGAGCGCAGACGAGACGAGTAGCTGCGGGAGGGCGCGTTGAGTGGCGTTGATGGGGTTGATCATCACTGCCTTTTCTGGGGAGGGGGGGGTCGTGGGAAGCTTACTTAATCGAATTGGCAGATCCAGAGATCAAGCACCTCTTGGTTTTTCTTCCGCTATGGACTTGTTCTCTTTCCTCGATGCCGGCGCTGGCCAGGAAGAAGACAGTATGCAAGTGGAGACAACGCCGACCTCCACAGAACCCGCGAAACACCGAAAGCGCAAGGCAAATTCCCCTCAGCCAGATCGAAATGGAGACCGCGATGCTGCCATGCAAGACGTTGGAAATGAACCTGGCCCTTCCTCTCCAAAACGGCCGCGAGTAGACGCTCCGAACCCGGTGGTTCTGGACGACTTTGAGACCGAAGCAAAGCGTGAGGTCGCAGCGAGCGCTGGCCTCACAGGCTCGTCCGTCGAGTCTGGTACGCGCCTCGAACTCAAACATCAGGTGGGTGGTTTTGATATGCTCCTTTCACTACCTCTAATCGATCTCCAGGTTCGACATCAAGTTGCTGTCCCGCCCGGCTACAACTACATCCCAATCTCTAAACATGTTCCCCCAGCAAAACCAGATCGAGAGTATAAATTCGAGCTGGATCCTTTTCAAAGAGTTTCCGTTTACGCTATCCAGCGCAATGAGAGTGTTCTGGTTTCTGCACATACCAGTGCCGGGAAGACCGTCGTAGCTGAATATGCGATAGCTCAGTGTCTTAATAACAAGCAGCGTGTCATATATACGAGTCCTATCAAGGTAGCTATCTATCGGAAATATAAACACGTTGATTCATCGTTTGTAGGCTCTGAGTAATCAAAAATATCGCGATATGTTGGCAGAGTTCGGAGACGTCGGTCTTATGACGGGAGATGTGACTATAAATCCTTCAGCGTCATGTCTTGTGATGACAACAGAGGTACGTTCTCCGACATTCATTCCGATGCCTTCGCATGAACGGTGTGTAGATTTTACGGTCCATGCTCTACCGCGGTTCAGAAGTGATGCGTGAGGTGGCATGGGTCATTTTCGATGAGATCCACTATATGCGCGACAAAGAGAGGGGTGTCGTATGGGAGGAAACTATCATCCTCCTTCCGCATACTGTCCGCTACGTGTTTCTCTCCGCCACCATCCCTAATGCCATGCAATTCGCCGAGTGGATATGCAAATCTCACGAGCAGCCATGTCACGTCGTCTACACCGACTTCCGGCCAACGCCACTCCAGAATTATATGTTCCCATGCGGCGGCGAGGGCATATACCTCGTGGTGAACGAGAAGGGCGAATTTCGAGAGGATAACTTTAGCAAGGCTATGGCGAAGCTGCAGGAAGGGATGGGCGAAGACCCGGCCGATTCGCGAGGCGGAAAAGGGAAGAAGGGAAAGTCGAAAAAGGGAGGCCAAAAAGGTCAGTACATCAATTGCGGATGCGCCTTTATACTCATTGTCCGAAGGACCTTCTGACATCTCCCGCTTGATCAAAATGATCATGCTCAAAAACTATAACCCTGTCATTGTCTTTGCGTTTTCTAAACGCGAATGTGAGGCCCTGGCGCTGACACTCTCCAAATTCGAGTTCAACTCAACGGAGGAGCAAGAACTCGTTAGCAGTATCTTCGCTAACGCCATCGACAACCTCGCCGCATCCGACCGGGAACTTCCTCAAATATCTAATCTTCTTCCTTTGCTACGTCGCGGTATCGGTATCCATCACGGCGGCCTCTTGCCTATCCTGAAGGAGGTAATCGAAATCCTCTTCCAAGAGGGATTAATCAAAGTGCTCTTTGCGACCGAGACCTTCTCAATCGGGCTCAACATGCCTGCCAAAACGGTTGTCTTCACGACGACGCGCAAGTTTGATGGCCGGGAGTTCCGTAACCTCACGTCTGGGGAGTACATCCAGATGTCGGGTCGCGCGGGTCGAAGAGGCTTGGACGATCGAGGTGTGGTTATCATGATGTGCGATGAGAAGCTGGAGCCGAGCGCTGCTATCAATATGGTCAAGGGCGAGGCAGATCGACTGGATTCAGCGTTCCATCTCGGGTACAACATGGTCCTGAACTTGATGAAGGTCGAGGGAATCAGTCCTGAATTTATGCTCGAGAAGTGCTTTTTCCAGTTTCAAAGCAACGCCGGAGTGCCGAAGTTGGAGGACGGTGAGTGTGCTTAATTTCCCCTCGCCACCTCTTCTTATGCGTTCCTCGCAGAGCTGAAGCTGGAAGAAGAAGCTAAGGGCACGACCGTCATCCCCGACGAAGCTCTCGTTGGAGAATATTACCAGTATCGCCAGCAGATAGACCAAATGAGGGCCGACTTCCGAGAGGTCGTAACCCATCCGACATATGCCCTTCCTTTCCTGCAACCCGGCCGCCTTGTGAAGGTCAAATACCACATGTTAGATTTCGGATGGGGCGTCATCATCAACTATCAAAAGCGACTCCCTCCAAAGGTGCCTCCACTCTTTGCCAATATTTTGCTTTTTCTTATCCCATTGTAGAACCGGCCTATGCCCAAAGCCGAAGAGCTCCCACCTCACGAGCAATACATCATTGATGTCCTCCTCAACTGCGCGCCTGGCGGCACCGTTTCCAAGGACCGCCAAGTCGTCACTGCCGCACCCGGTGGTGTACAGCCCTGCCCTGCAGGCAAGAAGGGTGTTCCCCTCGTTGTCCCGGTCTTGTTATCGACGATCGAGGGCATAAGCCACCTGCGGATATTTCTCCCCAAGGATCTTCGCCAGGACACGGCGCGGGAGACGGTGTGGAAGAGTGTGCTGGAGATCGAAAGACGATTCCCCGATGGGATCGCGTACCTCGATCCAATCGAAAATCTCGGGATTAAAGATGACAAGTTCAAGGAGCTGATTAATGTGCGTATGCATGTATCTATCTTTTCGACGTTCAAGTACTAATTGTCGTTTAATTAGAAAATAGCTCTGATGGAGAAAAAGATGGTCGAGAGTCCATTGCACAAGGATCCTCGGCTACCGGACTTATTCGAGATGTATGGCAAGCGCGAGGCGGCCAAGGAGAGGATCCGAGCCTTGAAGAAGCGGATACAGGCCACTCGAGATGTCCTACAGATGGAGGAGCTCAAGTGCCGGAAACGTGTCCTACGGCGGCTGGGGTTCACTGACTCGTCCGATATCGTCGACATGAAAGGTCGAGTCGCGTGCGAGATCAGTTCTGGCGACGAATTGCTCTTGACCGAGCTCATCTTCAATGGTGCCTTCAACACACTTTCTCCCGAACAATGTGCCGCCCTCCTCAGTTGCTTTGTATTTGCCGACAAGGTACGCTTCCCAGACGTGACCGCGTTTCTGACTGACACCCCATCCAGAGTGAGCAGACGACGAAATTGAAGGAGGAGCTGGCGGCTCCGTTGCGTTCGATGCAGGAACTTGCCAAGCGCATAGCCAAAGTCTCCAAAGAGTCCAAGATCGAGATCGACGAGGCTGAATACGTTGCGTCGTTCAAGGTGGAACTCATGGACGCCGTTGTGCAATGGTGCCGCGGCACATCGTTCTCCGATATCTGCAAGGTGGGGGGGATTCATTCCGTAATTCGCAAACGCCTACTGATCGTTTTATCATGCAGCTCACGGATCAATTCGAGGGTAGCGTCATCCGTGTGTTCCGGCGTCTTGGGGAGCTCCTCCGCCAAATGGCGCAGGCCGCTAAAGTGATAGGCAATAATGAGCTGAAAGAGAAGTTTGAAAAGTCGTCTGAGATGCTCGAGCGCCCGAACTCGGTTATATTCTGTTCGTCCTTGTACTTGTAGAGCTATGGTGCGGTATCATACGTGAAGTCAGACTACAATGGGTCATGGTAACACTTCTTGAACACCAGGTAACATGACAGTTGTGGGATGCCCCTGAGGCACCACACGCGCTCAAGCGGCACAGTTAACGTTTAAGAACTTTTCCAGGTCTGGGTCCCTTTCTCTTGGGATTATTAATGTTGGAATGATTCCAAGCAACACTCGCGACTTAGTATTACGCTGGACGTTCGAGTGAAACGTTACCCCTAAGTCGTAACTTGACAGTAGAGGTGGTGCACAACGCTGCTGCTGAGTTTTCACCCGGCATTGCGGGTATACCAAAGTTTTTTTCTTCTACCACTTTGAAAACTAAGAAGCCTGGGTTACACCAATAAAAATTTCCATGAAGAGTTGCATAAAAGAAAAAAGTCTGCATTAAGAGGGAATCGAACCCCCGGCGGGTCGAGCAGTGCTATCCAATCAGATGCGCTTGGCAACGACCCAGGTTACCACTACCCCATTAATGCCATGAATGATATTGTCCACCGTAGCTATATAATTGGCCATAAACTCGTTTTGGGCATCAGTGGTAAAGACTTACATAACTTGTCAACTGACTCCTGAGCTCGCAATTCGAACAAAAAAAATAGGTTGAAGACTGTAACATGCGATTTTCAATCGGATAAGTTGCGGTATGCACTGATTGCGTCTGGACACTGGTCAACGTCATTTTTTCTGCGCGTTGCGTGAACATGTAGATATTACAACAGTATTAAATCAATCTGCTATCAAGGGCCTCCTGCTAATGCTAATATCTTCGCGGCTGCCTGTTCCGCCATCGACATGATTGTTCCGTGAGGATTCCCGTATGGCAAAGAGGGTACGATCGATGCATCAACGATGAACAGATTGTTTGTGCCGAATACCTTGGTGTTGACGTCGACGACGGCTTTACCGGCCGTAGTTCCGATGATATTGGATCCAACCCAGTGGTTAGAATCCATCGTGGACTAGGAAGGTAGATGAGTAACACAATTAAGGGCTTTCATGGTGCACCGACGGGATCGTAGTTGTTTACTGTTTGATTCAAAGTTAGCCAGCTTCCACTAGAGTGGCTCCGGAAACCTACCGTAATTTTGTATCGTCGTCGTGTTGTCCGGTGTGATCATTACCATTCCTGGCACTGGAGTTGGTAATAATTATGATAAGAAAACAGATAGAGGTGAGGGAAAAATACTATTACCGGCAGAAATTCCAGCAACAATGTCGTTAAGACCTTGGATCAAGGTCGTTTTATCGAGTGGGTCTACAAGCCAAGGATTGACAAGTGGTTGCGCCGTAAGTGCGGCGTTGATTCCGATTCTCCCACGAGACTTAATGCCAGTAGAACTACGAACCAGCAAATTAGACATAACAATGAAAAGAATATGGCTAGTTAGCTCACAGATATGCCGTTATCGTGAAGATTTGGCTAAAAGCATGTTATAAGAGTATAATAGACAAGGGAAAAAGAAACCAACCTTGCGTTGTATGGGTATGAGGTCGTAACAGAGGCAGCGCCTGGACGGGCGGTGCCTTGCAGCTGTTCAGAAACTAGTCAAGCTTCGTCTGAGATACAACTTAAAAGGAACCTGCCCATCGTGTAACGCCGTCACTTGCACCATATGCGCGCCAGAAGTTGAGTCTGCTTGTGGTAAGCAAATGCAACAAAATCTGCACGTGACATACCTGGGTGAGGCCTGGGCAAAAACACCAGACTGGTTGGCCAGATATTGGGCAGCATCCGCTGGGCGCGGGCTGGTGAAGACATTAGCCCAATTATCATAAGCATCGATACTCTTTGGATTCATGAGTCCAGAGGTGCAGTCTATTCGTGAACGATACTCACAGGATGCGTGAAAACCAACTGGGGTCCTTTGTGAGCAAGCGGATATTATACTCAACAGATACGCACATTGATGGATGGGTTGTCCGATACCTGCACTCATAGATCAGTATCTCGGAGTCATCAGGGAAGTGAACGATAAATACGTTGTAACCAACAGGGAGATTGATCCACTGCGACGATGGCGGGAGGTTCGGTCCAGCCGTGGGATCGCCGGCAACAAGGTTGATCATATCCTGAAGCAAAATGTCATGACCAAAAACATTGCATTGAACCCGAGCCAATACGCACATTAGGGCCGATACCACTGCGGAAAAGTACGCGCGCGCTGCCGTAAGCGCCGGCCGAGAGGATTACACGGCCGTTCTGGTTCAGAGGGTAGAACCCATCCTTGACGGTAGTATCGTTCGTCTTGACACCAGTGATGTTGGCCCCGTTGCGAACGACATTGAGGACATTTGTGTACATCTTGAGCGTAAAGTTCTTCCGTGCCTTGGCTGTGCGCAGGTAGGACGCCACCGGACCACCTCGTTTGCCGGCAACGAACTGCCAGATTGTCAGGAAAGCAAAGAGAAAATAAAATAAACTCACATCGTATGCACTGTAGCCTAGATGATCAAGTTCAACATTGGAACACAATTGATTTTTGGACGAAAGGACAGACCGTAAACGTGATCTTTGGAGTCTGGGGAGTCGTTGATCGTGACTTGGCGATAACCTTGGTAGTTGAGAAGCTGCGACACAAGGGTCGACGTCTGCTCCAGGTACCGCTTGCCGTCGGTCGATGGCGCGTCTGTGGGGGGAAGGCGAGCCTTGAGCGCCGCGGTATATGGCGCGTGGTTTGTCCATGCGGCCGGCCAGCCAGCGTTGGTGGAGAAGTCGGAATCGGATGGAAGCCAGTATAGACTAAACGCAAATCAGATGCTGTCGGATAAGGAAATTGAACATCGTCCCGGCACTCACGCTCCGTTGACGGACGTCCCGCCGCCGACCAGGCAGCCCGCAAAGACTGTGATGTCCTTGCACCACCAGAAAGCGTTGGGGTCCGTGAACATGGACTCGAACAGCCCGGGCACATCGAACTTCGTCAGCTACTCGGGGTAAGGAAAGTGTCAGTAGGGTTACATTCAAAGGAGGAGGAAGTGAAGGGTACATTTGTTCCCTTGGTCCAGCTGGGCTGGTAGGTTCCCCCCGTTTCGCCGGTGCTCGGTCCGCCGCGTTCGAGTAGAAGCACTGATTTTCCGGCTTGCGATAGGCGGTCTGCTGTGATGATTCCACCAGGCCCAGAGCCGACAATAATGTAGTCATATCTAACAGCAAGTTAAAGTAAGGTAATGTACACAACATGGCAAAGTCGTACGGAGATGCCTTCCAAATTGTTTAGCGCTCATGTTACGACTTGATAAAATATTCGTAATCTTACCGTTGCAGTCGGTGCAGATGATGTAGTCGTGGTCGTAGTCGTTGTCGTCGAAGATCCTATGAGTCAATTATGAGCAACATAAGAAAACTTCGCGGTACCCCACTCACCTCCTCCAGTACCACCTGCAGCCCAATTGGCGTAGACGGATGCGGACACATGGGCGGAGGAGAATTGGAAGAAATAGAATCCGACTGAAAAGGAATGAGCCATATGTTGAAATGCGTGTTTCACTGCTTACAATCGGTGTGTTGAACCATCGTGGTTCCCGGATCCGCGGGATTGTCCACGGCGATAGTGGAAACACACCATGCCGGAACCGCCGCGGAGGAGCTGACGTCGATGCTTCCGCCAGTCCAAGCTAAAAGAGAGCTGCATGAGGAACTGTTCCCCGCCGTAAAGATGAGGAATGGGACTTACTAGTGCAGTTCTGGCACCGGAAGACCCATTTCCAGTGCGTGGAATTGATAGAGGTGCTTGGGAGCGTCGTGATGACAGGACCGGGATACACGCTGAATAAGTTCTTGGCTTAGAGCGAGTATGTCTTAATCTGGAAGGGCCACTTACTCAGGTAGCACATTGGAGCTGAGAGGAAGTTAAAGAGGAAAATAAGAATTTTAGAAGTAAGACTCACGTCGCATATCGTGTGGTGAAGACGATCTTTCCGTTATTCGGCCACGCGGCAACTAGGAGAGAGTCGATCATCGAGCCTGAGAGGGCAAAGCCGGCCCATTGGTTTGCAAGTGGGGCGACGATTTCAGCAATATATTCCGTCGGGTTTGGGCCCGAGGTTGCTAAGGGAGGGAAAACGTATCCCCTGAGAAAAGTCAGCCTCAGAGTAGGATATATGCTGCTGAGGCTGTTTACCAAGTGACGTTGTGGACGACATCCTTTGTACCCCAGAAAGTTATTCCATTGTCCGGATCGGTGTATTGCGATGCCACTTGAGAGAGAGCTGCGCGGACTGTGAGAGTGAGGTTCCCCTGGCGCTCGCTAGGACGTACCGGAGCCGACAAAGGGAACAACACCTAAAATGAGGCGCATCAGCATGACGACAAGCCACAGGCGAGGAGACCAGGGACTTGCGTCAGTTCATGGTGGGTTTTTAAGCCTGCTACGTGACATGAAGAGGATGCGAAGAAGTTCCGAAGGCTAATAAACGGCTGTGCTCGAGCTATCACGTTGACCATCCACAGGATGGACACTTTAGAGGCATCGGACAATTTAGAGGCATCGGACAAGAAGCTTACGGTCAAGCAGGGCGGCGGATACAAGTCGGAGTGAGGGCCAACATGTGGTCACTATGTAGCCCCGGAAAAATGGGTGTAGATTAACCAGGCAATTACATTAGGGCAGCCATCAGCGCTTCAGCGCGCGCGTGAGTACAGCGATCAGGAAACATTTGACGTGGCTTTGCAGAGGACCCTATGCGAGAAAGTCCCGACCTATTTCCGCATGTGGTACTTACGGAACCGAATCTGGGCAGCCTGGGGGAAATAGATAATATAAATGATGGATGTTGAGCAGCTGGGGCTACAACCAGGACAGCGTTTGAGACGACACCCTAAACACAAGTTAAGTGGCAGTAGATACGAAAGCAGCGTTTCATAAATGCGGATGCTATTTCAAGCTAGTGCAAAGGCTGGTTCCGCAGCCAGCGCCCAGTACCTATTTTCGTCCAGTGGAGCCAGCTTGAAATGCTATCGGCACCTTGAGTATTTATGGTGAGGAACGCAACCATCGTAGTGACACTTCAAAAAAGAACGAAAAGACCACGAGGGCGAGAATGTAGCCTCAGCCTGGGTTTATTTGAATCGCGGTGCTAGTACAACGGTGAACCGGTTAGATCTAGATTTGGAGACTCTCGGAGCCTGAGTTGTAGTAACACTGGCAGCAGCACGCGACCACCCCGACCTGGGGATCTTGGAGAGGTCCAAGTGCGGTTAAAATTTTGTTTCTCTGCAGTACAGCAGGCACGAGTGAGTGGGTGAAGGGGAGGGTCTCAGTGAAAAGATGGCCTACAGCCACTGCAGTCCTTGCAGTCCGATAGCGTTGTTTGCTTTTGCTTGCTTCTGCTTTTTGTTGCCTCACTCCGCTCAGTGAGTCCGACGTTGGGACGACGGTATCATCGGCTTGCTCCCAGTTCTCGTGGGCGTGGCCTGTTGTCCGCCTCCATCACCCTGCCCCGTAGCCCAACTCGGAACGCGTCCTTCTTTTCTCTT